ACACCGGGGCTCCCTCCAGCCGTTTAACCCGACTGGTGTGGACTCGTGTGAACCCTCGCGGGGAGGTTCCCAGGAGGCCGCAGCGGCCGAAGAGCTGCGGAGCTGCAGCCAGGCCGGGCTGGCGCCGGGAGCGCCTCCTCGGGGTGGTCTTCCCGCCGGGCGAGAACCGCCCGCCACCCCTCCCGGGAAAACCCCCGGGCGCCGCGGCCCGGGCGGCCCTACCCACCCCAGGCCTCGCCGCCGCCCTGCCAGGGGCGGAGTAAACAAGAGACGCAAGATTTGACCTGGCGCGACCCGGATTTCTGGCCGGGGTTCCCCCTGAGCAGGTGACTCTGTGGGAGGAGTGGAAATTCGCCTCTGGAATTCCGGGCCAAAGACGTTAACTGTGCTTCTGCTCTTAGGGCAGGTATTTCACCAACCCCGGAATTTTTCGCGTCTCAAGTTTCAGATTTCGGGGAAAGGAACCAAATGTCAAGGCATATCAAATAGTCCCTTCCTTTTTCATTAAAAAAACAACAACAACAACAACACGAATACATTAAAAGGGAAGGCAGCCTCTTTAATGACTGCGAGGTTAGCACTGCTAGTTTCGTTTTTGTTTTTCATTTAGACTTACAATCAGTGTATTTCTGGGGACCCTATCCAAAGGCGACATTGCCCTGAAGGATGACTCTGCAAAATAAAGCAGTTGGTACGTGTTTTTTTTTTTCCCCCAAAGGAGAAACATCTGAATGATTTGAAGTAAGTTTCACTGTGTCCTTTCAGGTTGATCTCATTTAAATTCAGAGCCTATTTCCACTTAACCAGCCTTTTCTTTCATTAAGTTCTTTACTATTCAGCCCTTCTTAACTTGATGCACTTAATAAAAACTCCCCCAATCATCATCTTCTCTTAAATGTATGCCTTAGCATTTTTAAACATCCATTTAAATGCAAAACCTAATTTTCAACATGTTTTTTTCACTTCCAAACCCACCTGCTATGTACGACCAGAGTCCATTTTATTTAATTGGCTAATAGAGAAGATTAAGCAGGTTCTTTAAGAACCCAATATCCCTTCAGCACACACAACAGCAGCTGCCCAAGCTCCCAGAAACTAAGCAAAGAAAGTAGCCAGCAGCGTTTTGCTTTGCTAAAATGAATGTTAGTTGGAATCTTAATTGCCTCTTTGAAATATTAGATAAAGTGGCATAGTGTGAGTATTAGAATACTCATTTAATTGGACAGCTAAAATATTTTTTAAAAAACAGCAAATATACATCAATTTTGATTACCTGATCCTACCCCCAAAGAGGAACTCCCCCCCAAAGATACTCTTTAGTCAAAGTTGGATTCTCCTTACCGTGTTCCAACATCATCAAGCTCTAAAGAAGATAACTGAAGTGAGTTGAAGCAGAAGTAAAAATATTTGTAAGTATTAATAAACTAGGTGACATTTCCTCTGCTGGGTGGAATTACTATCATTAAGTAAATGCATTCCTCTCACCTGCCCCTAATGTTGCAACATGTCTGTGCAACCGCTTACTTGTAAGTGTAATAGATTAGCAAAAGAACTCCTCTTCCCAGAAATCCTCAGAAGTCAAAACCAGCATCGGTAAACCCTGCACTAAACCCAAGGAAGCTCTAAGGAAAGCAAGGCTGGGTGGGTGGAGCTGGTTCCTCCTAGGCAACCATAGGGTATATCAACAACAGTGTAGCCACTTCTTTTTATTACTCAACTTTCTTATCACTTCTCATTCCAAAGGAAAGAATCATCTAATAATCTTGATTATGAGGTATTAAGAGAGTCACATAATTTCCACGTGGCATTTTCACAGTCAGGAATCACTTCAAACTGAAAGCACTTTCACTCACAAAATATGTATTGAGTGCCTGCTATGTGCTAAAGATACTGAGGATACCTCAGTGAACAAATCCTTGATTCCTGGAGCTGGCATTCGAGGGGGTGGGGGGAGGGAGTGTGGTGGTAGAGTAGGAACAGGATAGAAAATAAACATAAGACAAACAGTATAGAACTTTGGAAAGTAAAAAGAGTTATGGGAGGGGGCACATAAAATAGGGTAAAGGATGTCTGTGGGGTGGGGTGTTGTGTTGCTGTATTAAATGCTGAGGTCAGAATAGGACTGGCCGGGAAGTGACATTTCTGCCGAGGCTTGAAGGGAATGCTTCAGCAGTGGAGATAATCTGGAGTAAAGAGCTTTGCAGGTGGAGGAAAGAACCAAGATAAAGCTCTAAGACCAGAACAGGCCTGGCATGTTTGTGGACCTCAAGGAGAATAGTACAGCTAGAACAAAATGTGACAGCCAGTGAGCAGAACCACCCAGGCCTCCCTGAGGACTTTCCCAACTCAGGAAAAAGCTTGATAATGGGCAGGTTTATGACCTTTGCCACCCAGTTCCTCTGAATCTGAATCTTTGTGAGCCCAGGAATCTGCATTTTAACAGATATTGCAGTTGATTCTTAAGAAATCTAAAGCTCAAAATCTACTGCCACTGAGCATGCAGGCTGATACTCCTGGCAGGAGAACTGGGTATCAGGAGACATAAAGCTGCTAGAACCAAGCACATCTGTGTTCCCAATAGCACTCTTTCAGTTGCAAATTTAAATCCTCAACTCAAACTAACTGTAAAGGGACTTCACTGACTCACTCAACTAGAAGTCAAGGGCTAAATATCAACTCAGCTGGATCCTGGGCTCAAATGATGTAACCCTGATTCAGTCTTCCTCCCTCTCTCAGCTATTCTTATCTTTCTGTTTCATTCGCTTTTCAGACAACCTTTCTTCTTCAGAGTGGTGGCAGAAGTCCTAGATTATCTTTTTTTTTTTTTTAATTTAGCAACTCCAATGGGAAATGGTCTTTCCCAGATAGCTCAAGCAGCCTTAATCCTATCCTTGCACATGAACCAATCATGGGGATTGGGTGATGGGGTGATCTGATTGGTCAGACATAGATCTGGAGTGAAGGATGGGCCTCATGGATCCCCCCCAAAAAAGAAGAGGAGTTGTCAGAAGGTATCAGGGGGTGTACACTCTATCCCTTAAGTTTTGGCCTTGGTTTCTAAATTTTTAAAATTAAGGCGTTGGTTAAGATGATGTGCCTGATTCATTATGGCTGAAAACTCTTTATAAATCTCTGTAATAAATCCCTTCACAAAACTGTGCTAAATAAATTAACTGGCATACCATACTCATAAATAAATTTAAAGTACTATATATAAAATATTAAAGGGGTTACCTGCTGGGGGGGGTTCTGATGAATAAATGGAATATATAGCCTTGGGTCTTAATAAAGAGGAATAATTTAGAACTTCTGATGGAGCTCCCACTTTCTATTCATCTGCTTTAATTGGCATATAGAGGAAAATTAAGCAGTGTCATGATTTTGTGGTAAAGAATACATAGGTCTCCAAAAAGCAGTTGAGGAAAAGAACTTGAAGGAAAATCTGCCTGTCTATTAAGTTATTATTGGGATATAAGCCAAGCATTATACTGTAGACCAGGTTCTTTATCCCACTGTAA